GAGAGGCAGCAAAACATCCTTTCATTTTATAGTTACAGTTTACTAATAAAACTCTCCACAGTATGAACAGTGGTTACATGAGCCTCAAAACCAGACACAACTCAGCCCTGAGCAGAGTGACCGTCCTCTACTGACCAATCAGACTGCAGTGTTCACAGCTCCACCTTTTAGTACCAGATCTGTGTGCTAGGTACCCCAACAGAGGGGGACCAAACATGGGGACGCTAAGGAACGCTTCTGTTGGGACCATCCACAACTTTCACTGTGGAAACAGGTAGAAATGAGAAATGAAATGAGGCTTTAGTCCTGTTCCTCTTCTGGAGATCTGCAGTCCTCACATGAAGCAGGGAAGAAGTTGAACAGGGTTTATTAAGAACCCCAAAAAAGAAAAACAAAACAGGCCCTTCCAAAATGACATCTCGTACGGTGCACTACTGACTCGATATTGTTTCAACACTGCATAACATGTTCATAATCTTATTACAATCCAAACCAATACAAGCTTCATGTCATCTTTTATGCATAACGTCATGCACACTAAACTGCCTCACAGCACCATCTTTTTTTCCTTTAATGAGCGATTATAATAAAATCTGTGTTGCTCATATGTCATTTATCATTCAGCACTGGCAGCCGATATGACAGTAACCTCCAGTCCTTGACATTTCCACACTAATTGCCATTTTTTTTGGTCCTGCCATGGACAATGAGCTCTCCTGGGTTACGCTGAGCCACTCGGTCAATAGGCCCATCCTCCAGTCGTATTTTTTTCCACACCGCCACAGAAATAACAGACAGCTTCTGTGATTGTGGTTCCTTTGTAAAGTGGGTCACTGTTTCTCGTGAGGTCCCTCCAAACTGTATCTGACTTTCTTCTCCTCTTATATTTTCTCCTCTCCAGACCACCAAGGCAGTGAACAAAGGTGACTTCCCACTGGCCAACATCGCCTCCAGACGTGCTTTGTTCCTCGCTGCCCTCTCCATCACTATAGGCACCGGCGTGTACGTGGGGGTGGTGGTAGCTCTCATCGCCTACCTTTCTAAACCAGGACACATATAGCAGCCGCACCTTCCCTCCGACACACCTCCAGGGAGCCCAGGAAGAGAACAACTCCCCCCCTCATGGGAACGCCATCGCTCCTGCAGACTTCGAGGAAAAGTTTTTCGGGGATGTACAGTTTTTTCCCTCCGCCTTCCTTTCTTCCCAGCTTTCTCTCCCTACAGGCCCTCTGTCAGCCAAGATTAGCCACAGTGACTGGAGAGAGGTCAAGCTGGAGGGTGAGAAGAGGGGGAATTGGGGATGGACAAAGTTTTTTCTTTTTTTGTTTGAGAGGGTTTGAGTAATGGAAGAGTCCAGTTTGCATCACATTGACTCAAACCCCTGTTGGCTTCATCGTCTTTTGGCTGGTTTTTAACTTCCAAGACCCCGACAGACACATCGAGGAAGAAAAGACTGGGACGATAATGCCACACACTTAAGCAGTTATTATAGAGCAGAGGTTGAGGAGAGTTAGAAATCAATACAAAATCAGTCTTAAACCAACTCTACGTTGTCGTTATTTGAGCTGCAGTTAAAATCGGAGCTTCTCTGTGGAGTCCCGTCTCCTGTCATCTCAGTTCACCACCCAGGACTGTCTTTAATAGACTGTGAGCTGCCCTCATCGACTGAAAAACACCAAGGCTGCACTTGTCTCCGGGCTGACTGCCTCGCAGTAGATGACCACGCTTCTTAAATCATGACAAAGGAGGGCTTTTATTTCCAGAGAAACTTCTGAAAAAAATACAAAACTTCTGATCATAATTTCAATCAAAGAATAAAGCGCTGAGAGATTAAAAAGAAAAAAGCGATCAAACGCGATCAGAGGCTGTTTCTTTCTCATTGAACAATACGTACTGGCATGAATTTCAAGGATCTGAACGAGCCTCAGGCCTGTATTTTACCTATGAGAAGGTGTCCATCCATCAAAGACATGCCCTGAAATCTAACAAAATCTGCTCACGCCAGATATGTTTTGCCTACGTACATGCAGATTGTTTTTATGTTTGTCTCTTTGTGTTCCCTGCTGTCTAAAAGGCACCATGATTAATCTCGCTTTAAGGAATGTTCATTTATAGCCTTTGAAGTAAAGCACACATGCGAGGTGGCCAGATGGTCCCAAATTCAGGGGGAAAACGATGCACAGTGTCTCCCCCGGAAACGCTGCATCTGCTAACGCAATGTGAAATGAAACATCAGCCGCTCACAATGGAGCGAGGAAGTTATAAATCAGGTAGATAATGTCATTAAAAGGCAGGCCTTATGTATTCTCCGGTGCTGCGCGTATAAACAGAGCGTCGCAGTCTGACAGCTTTGAATTGAGCTGTGATCAATTATTCTTTGCATGACTCTTGCTATGTGCCAGCAGTATACTGCTACGCATGATTGATTGGATTTAGAGCTTGTTTTTGTCAGATCATAAAAAAAGCTTAAATTAAAATTGATCAGGCTGTGAAGGGGCTCGTATTTCGTGCAGCGCTTAAACCCACACCCCCCCAGTTCAGCTATTAAAACAAAGGACATTTCATAGTAATAAAGCATCGAGACACTTCAGTTTGTTCCTTCGCGATTTCAAGAATGGTTGAAACAGACAAATTCACTGATCCTCTTTGTATGAAGGGCTTATTAATTACAGAGACTTCACTTTGTGTTTTTATATTCCAGATGTAGTCAGATGCTAGTTCAAGCCTCAAGAGGTGACATTATACACTTAGTTTCCCTGCACAGGTCCTGCATTAGTCATACCTGACATTTATGGTGCACAATTAGCTCCCCGTAATGGCTTGTTCTGAAGGAATGTGTAGTCTCTGGAGCATAGCCCTAAAATAGCACAACCACATTAATTTCACTAATAAGCCACTTTTGGCGTCGCCGGTTGCTGTCAAACCCTGCAAGTAAACAATCCATTTACACATCCTCAGCTCTGTGAACATTTTAAAATAACCATGTAAGTCGGCTCTGCTGTGCTAATGAAGAGTGAATATTGCCCATATTCTCCACGAGGGGAAGTTTCCAGTGTGCTTTGCTTGAATAAAACTGCAGCTCAGACTCCGAGCTTTTCTTTGAATTTTCTTTTTGGCTGCCTGTGTGTGCAAACATCCAGCGGTGTTTTGAGTAAAGGACAAGGATGAGCTGAATGCCGAATGATTTCTAGGTGTTTGTTTGGGGCCCTACGATTCAGCTCATTGAGTGTGTGGTCATCTGAAAAGCTCGTCAATACCAGGGGCGGAGCAAAGGGGGGGCCTCTGGGGCTCCAGCACTGAATCTATGTGATTGGGTTAAGAAATCTAGTTTAATTGGGCCTAATATTTCTATTCCAGCATAGTGTAACAAAAACAGGTTTCAAGATTAGTGATTCTGCTAGCGCAAAATTTTACCCTACCAACACTTTCTCACTCCCAACTTGTCAAATACTGACGCTTGGTCAGTGGCCCTGGGATGGAGTGTCAAATTAAAATTAAGTTTTCACAGGAAATGTACAATTTCTCCTTTTTAATGGCGTACATTCTCCTCTCAAATTACACTTAGAACGTAGGTAAACATTTTGTTTTTTGGTAAACTATATTAGGGCGTGTGTCGCGCACTAGTTGGCATTGTTGGCTTTTTTATAGGAAATTCAGACAGTTGAGTCGGCATCAGAGACGGTGAAGCCTTTCAGTGACTGAAATCACTCTGATTAGCCGGTCAGACGAGAAACACAAGTGAAGAAAGGAAACAAATGAAGGGTGTGAGATTGAGACAAACTTTTGAGCCAATGAGCTCTTGAGCAGAAACAGTTTGTAATCGTTTGTGTTATTGTTCATTTGTGATGGTTATTATCATTTGTTCTTTCAACATGGGGTTGTGCTAATGTGCTAACTGGCTAACTGGCATCTTGATTTCATCCTGACTGTCTTTCGGTTTCTCTTTTTAAATGACAAATACAAACTCCCGTCGCCTGCTGTATGTATATTTTGTCTCACACAGGCGCAGAACGTATATGCTAGTTTGCCGTCGGCTGTAGTCTTTGCAGTGTGTTCAAGTGCAGCTTTTTGGCTGGGTAACATGTGACGACAGGTGATGCAAGAATTGGCCTTCGCTGCCACTAGTTCTTTGATGTCGGTTTGGTGTGTCATGGGCTTCAGGTTTAGGCAACAAGAGTAAGTGATTTGATTTGGAAAAAACGTCATGTTTGGCTTAAAATAAGTGTAAAATAAAAATAAAGTAAAAATAAGAGTTCGTCGTTCGATGTTACGATGAGTCAATCACGTTTGCACACTGAGTCCGAAACTTTCGTCCATCATTAAAATGTTTGGAACAGATTTGATTTTCTGCATTTTTTGCATCTGTCAGAGCCTTTAGAGACGTTTGACCAAGAATCAGTGAAGAAAATGTGGTGGCGGGACACAGCCACAACAGGACAGAGGAACGGGGCCCACAGAATACTTTCCTTCCTCAGATAGTGATATTCAGGTGGATGATGATGAAGAGGAGGAGGATGTGGACTGCACACAGAATGTGGAGGACAGCTCCGCCCCTTCATGCAGCTGTGGTGCCAAATCAAATACAGGGAGGGAGTGATGAAAGCCAGATCGGCTACTCCAGGGGAAAGACGCAAGAGAGGAAATGTGTCTCTTCATTATTCACGTATGGTGAATTCTTTAACAAGGAATAGAACAATAAAATGCAGAGGAATCAGTGTGCAAGGTTTCTGTGCGTAATGATTTCTTTCAGATGTCGGACTAAAAAACACATCGGTAAAAAATGGGCTTAGTGCACAAAGGCCTTGAGTTGACTGACTTTATGTTTCAAACCAGACACAAACAGTGGGTTCCTAGGCGAAAGTCCGGAGTTTGTTTGACCCATCCACCACTAAACGTGCCCATCCTACGCTGGTGCGTCAGTGTCTGACGCTGAGGGCCACTGACCAAGCGTTGATATTTTGCAAGTTGGGAGTGAGACCGGATTACTGTGCCTATGTTATGGAGTTTAAAAATGGTAACATCCAACAATGTTTGCCTCTTTTCATGTGGCATTTGCTGTGTTTTGGTTTCAGAATGATGAAGACAGGTGGAGAACAATTACACACAAAATAGGCTTTAAAGGATGATTTTTTTTTTCTTGGCAGCTATTATTTTGTTTTTCCAAAATGGTCGACAGAATTTTTGGCATGGTATTATCTCAAATGGCTTTAAAATCTGGGCATATAGATGCTGTAAGAGGGAAAGAAATCTGCCAGGCCTGAGGTTTGGACCGAGCCCCAAACATCTGGCTCTGCTCCTGGTCACTACACTGTATATGTTTGGCCTTATAATCTCCGACCCCCTCTGACCACACGTCCTACTGGTAACTCACGAGCTACTGATTTCACGTCAGCATACGCACACATCATGACCATCACTGTAACTATACTGAAAGACTCTGTATGTCTGCTGTCATCTCTTGGAGAACGTTTTATTGCTGATAACGATGAACATGCTTTGTGTTATGTAGCGTGTCATTCAGATGATGTGTTTTTATCTTTGGCAACCTGGTATTGTGCAATGTGTCACAACAGTACGTGGGTTTCAGTGCTGTTGTTAATTCCTTCTCATTGTGATGAGTTAATGTACACATCCACGCAGCAAAGACTGAATGCATTCCTCAATGCCAGGGTGATAGTGCTCTATTTGTGTCGTGCTCTTAAGCCGAATTAAAGATGACATTTTTTTTTTTTTTATTCTGTTCATGTTTTGGGGATTTTGTGTGAAGGCAACATGTACATAGTGCAAATAAAGACATGTTCAAATGTAATGACAAATAAATCAGAAAGGAAGGATGTCCTTTCTTAAAAGCAAAAAAAATCTTTTTCTCTGTGGTTTATATAACGTGAAGCTCTATTGTCGGTTTCATATCCGAAAAACACTCCACGACCTGAGAGAACTGGCCCAGTAATTGCTTGAGTTGTCCTTAAAGCAAAAGCAAACACAGACTGAGTCATGGAGTGTAGGTGGTTTTTGCCAGAAAGAGATGGAGGAGCAGTTTGGAAATGTGTAGCTGCAGTGTTCTCATAACTGCGTGCAGGAAAGTACACCTTCCTTTGTGCTGTCACCATCATGGTTATTGAACATAAAAGCAGAGCCACGCTCAGCTCAGCATTTCACACACTGAACAACAGAGCTACAGTACAACCTGACATCTCACACTGCGTCTTTATATTATTTTGATTGTCACATTCATGCAGTCTAACAGAGCTTTAGTGGGTTGAGTTTGTCAGGCATGTAGTGTACAGTATTATCTGCAGCGCTGGTTCC